TCAGATCGGTAGACCTTCCCTACTTCTGTCAAAAAGACCCGGGAGTGACCCGGTGATACCAATGCCATTACCCCCTGTGTGTCAGGGGCTTCACTAGGAGAAGACCAGGAACGATAGCTGTGCTGAGGGAAAATACGGAGCTGTGCGGAGTGANNGAAGCTTACATGTCCTCGGAAATGAGTATGTATGTGTATATGTATTATGTATACATATAACAACATATATATATATAGCATACATATATATATATGTATATGTATATGTGTATATATATATGTGTATACATATATATAACACATATATAGATGTATATATATATATACATATATATATATGTATATATTACAAATTTTGTATGTTCGCAGATACACATACATATATATATATATACATATGCATGTATATCTATGTATCTATCTGTCTGTCCATCTGTCTATGTGTCTATCTGTCTGTCTATCTATGTATCTATATCTCTATCTCTATCTCCATCTGGATTTATCTGTCTATCTGTCTGTCTGTCTGTCTGTCTGTCTATCTATATCTCTATCTCCATCTCGATTCATCTATCTATCTGTCTCTCTGTCTTTCTGTCTAGTATCTATGTACCTATGTCTCTATCCATCTACCTATCTATGTCTCTATATCTGTCTATCTATCTATCCATCTGTCTATCTATCTATCTATCTATCGTTCAAAAAGATATGTATAAACAAGCATAATAAATGTCGGTAGGTGTGTATATATATATATGGATATATGTGTAGATGTGTATATATGTACATATAGATATCCATATCCATTATGTGTATAGTCTGTGCATGCAGGTACGAAGGTAGGCTGGTATGCAGGCATGCATGTATGCAGGTATGCAGGGTTGCATGCATGCATGTGTGCATGGATGCATAGATGCATGTATGTGTGTATGTATGTATGCATGTATGCAGGTATGCAGGCATGCAGGTATGCACGTATGCATGTATGCCTGCTTGCATAAATGTTTGCCTGCCTGCCTGCCTGCATGCATGCATGCATGCATGCATGTATGTTTACAGGTAGAGTCAGAGGGCGATGGTTACAAACGTATGTAGATGGATGTAGTTTCTAGCAGACATGTGCGCATACATGCATTTGCTTTTGGCGGCATCTGACTTGCAGTGCAAGCAGGCTCGTGCGCCAACACCATGCATGTATAGATTGAAGGATGCATATGTAGGCTGATTCCAAAGTTACTTTGTGAGATTTTTCCACGATCTTGGTCGCGATGTGCAGCGTCTCCAAATCGTCGTGCCTGTTTTGGGAGGCGGGCGTGCAGGACATGATCCGACCGGGACTCAGCAGCGTTAGTGTTGGTGACGTCACTCCCGCTCACAGATGTCGGCGCAAAAATTGTGTGTTGCTTGTGCTGTTGATGAGTGATCGCATCTGCTTTTCCGGAGGTCACTGTGCCCCTTTCGTGCGTGACCCCGATGTGGCCAGTCTCCTCGACCGTGTGAACGAGCAGCTTGGCCTCGAAGTTTGGGATTCGCTTCCAAGAGGCTTTTTGCTCTGCGAGGAAGCTTGGGATGTCGCCGGCGGCCTGCCACCGCTTCAGGGAGCTCGTCGCGCAGCTGTCGTGAGCGGAATGGGGGAGGGAGCCTTTGAAGTTGCCCACAGGGTTTTGGCGTCGAGCTACATCCCTCCTGCATCACTCTGGCATAATCCTCGCAGCCTGCTTGTTTTGAATTCTTACTGCAGAGGACACACTTGGAATTAGGTGCCATCTCAGTCTCCCAACTGCAGCCTGCAGAGCTTTGCACTTGTCGGATCCCGTCCCCAAAGCGCTGCAAATGCAGGGGGTATCCAGGCTCACGGCCCAAAGCACCCAGAGCTTCTAGATCATGAACAGAAATTGATCAAGTCCTGCTGCTTTCGTGGCGGTTTGCCTGGAAGGACAAGTGCTCGGCATGTGGAGCATCAGTCATTAAGAGGATCGCAGCAAATTGGAGCTGCTCTTTCCTCTAGAAATCCGTCGCTTGAAGCGTCTCGTCTGACTCGACATCTGCCAGCTTGTACAGGGACCATAGGTCTGACTTCAGCTGCAAGATGTCCAGTTTGGGTTGTTGTAAACTATCGTAAACCTCAGCCGAAAGCTCGTCACCTGAACAGCTTCATGTCGCCACCCGGTCAACAGAACCGGTGAATTCGAGATGGACGATTTCAAAACGGTTACGAGTCCGATTTGCATTTCTACGAGTCCTTGCAACATGTTACGGGCTTAGACTGACATGGCAAAGGATACGGACGGGTCATGCACCAACTGTGCTGAGAAGACTGGCAGGTGGCGGAGTTCGGATACAAGCGGAAGATGGAACGTGTAGACCCTCAGCCCGCAGCTCCTTGTGACCTTGTGTCAGCATAAGTCCTTTGCCCGCTTTCCTGTTCGATTTCTCCCTGTCAAGGCGTCTGCTAGTACAGGATGACACCGTCAGCTTCGAAGGCCGCTGGTCTTTGAAGGACCGTTGCAAGCAACCGCAAATGGTGGCAATCAGTGGGTTATGCGACAGGACACCATTCCAAAAGATGCCAGCGGAGGCGCGACGGACGACATGAACCAGTGAAGTCGTGCTTGAAGCTTCAGTGACAGGACCTTTATAGTTTGTTTGCGCCGGTTTCCTTTCGTGTGCTCGCGTTCTAAGTGCATGTTGTCGGCAGGTCTCGGGGAAGCGGCAGCCACGCTTAGACTTGTGCAGCCAGATTTGCGCGCGGGCTGATCACTCATGTCACCGCATGAGTTGAAGCTTACCGAGCGCGGGATTGGCATTGTGGTTTGTTGGTCGCCCATCGATGCTAGCAAGATCGCTGCGAATAGATGGAGATTTGTCCGAGCCTCGATCCTTGAAGTCTCACCCGAAGAGTTTCACCTCGACCAACAAGCAGTTGAGTTGAATGTCGCGGAATCTGGTGCCATGGCTGATTCTGACTTGTGGGTGCCTGGGTCGAGCTTGCAATTCAGGCAGGCGGCGAACGGTTAGGCTGGGTTTGGAGCTTGGGTTCCGGCTCGACGTGAGCTGGGGCTTAGGCCGCAGATCAAAGACTGTCCCATTGCATTGGCAGGTCGTGTGTGGTGGGGGGGGGGGTACACAAATCGGTGTGCTACAGGGGAACGGATCATGCGCTCCTACAGCATTTGTCAGCGGTTCCCTTCTAGCCAGAGTTGCAGCCAAAAGAGTCGAGTTGTGGCGGCTTAAAGAGTTTCAGGTAGATACATCCGTCAACAAGTCTCGGAATGATCTCAATGCATCGCGGTGTGAAGAGATCTGCGGTCTCATCTGTGCCATGTGGGGCTGCTGAAGCCGTGCCCAACATGCTAGCAGGCGGCAAGGGAGCAGGGCATTCTCCGCTGAGTTTAGCAACTAGGGGATGTATTTCTTAGCCTCCCAGCCGTCCCGACAAACGCAGCCCCCCAAGCAAGCCTGCGTAGGAGACATAGATGTAAGACAGTAAGACTGCCCAGCGGCAGTATTTCGCTGAAGTTCAGGCCGTTGTGGTCATGGCACTCAAGGACCCGGCTTTCCCAAACACCAGCCGTGGCCATGTCTGGACTGCCCGTCCTGTCTGCCAGGAGCTCTCGGCATCCTTGCGGTCATTACGCGAGAGGAAGGCGCTGTGCTGAGAGCTTCTGGGAGTTCTCGGGTTCTGGTGTTGCAGCGCCTTGACTATGCTGTCAAAGCGCTTGGCAATTGGCGAAAACTGGGCTTCTGCCATCTGAAGTCACAGCTTTCAGACACAGGCAGTTGAGGCGGGCGTGCCTGCACCACGCCGGCACCTCAAAGCGCGGCACTTCTGAGACCTTCCCAAAAGGGTCGGGCTTCGAAGCCTGTTCCCATTCATTCTCAAACAGCTGGGCGCCCAAAGCCAACGGCCTTGACACGGTCAGGCCCACGCTCAGTCGGTGCCGAGGGCCGGGAGGAGGCCTTGGGCTTGGGACGGCCGAAGAAGCATCGTGCTCGGACGATCTTTGGGTTCGAGGGGTGAGCAGGAAGCCAACTTCAGTTTCGGACTCGCGCAGCTCCTTTCGTCACAGCACGCGATGCCTGTCGCAGACACGATCCCTGGAAGCCAGCCTATTCCGCTTCGAGGAGGCGGGGAGTTTTCGTTCTGAGTCGTTGCATGTCACGGTAGCCTCTGCCGCCTACCCTCTCCTCCAACTCCTCCCACTCCCGCTCCGTCGCCCTGCTTCGCAGCGCTTCCTTCGCATGGACGGAGAGATGGCAGCGCTGCGGCAAGCCTTGGACACGGAGGCCAGGCGGCCGCTGTAACTAAGACGAGGTCGTGGAGTGACTGGATGCGTGACTTTGCCTGGTCTGGCACTCGCAGGTGGCTGCTCTCCGCCGCGGTTTGGCGACTGTGGCGGAGGCTGTGCATGCCGTCGGAGCCTTAGTGACATCTGAGACTTGCTCCGGCCTTGCAGGCCAGCTTGCAAACTCAGATTCATTGGTTGCGTGTCAGCTCGATTTTGGTTCAAAAGAGAACAGTGGGACTTGCCTCTCCTGCAACCGGGACAATGGCTTCTTCGGCCTTGCGAAGCCTTCGCAAGCAGGCAGCGGATCTGAAGCAGGCTCTGAGGGTTTCGGCATGTTTCGGTGTTGTCGTTTCGTTCCAACAACTTGCTTCATCTGCAGCCGAAGACACGAAGTCATGAAAAAGGTGCGGACCATGTTCACCGGTGGCATGCCTCCTGGTGGGCGCATGCCTGGTTTCTGGGTCAGCGCTCCGAGCATCATCCCCGCCTTCAGAGACTCTGTCTTATGCTGAGCCGAAGATAGTGGTGGAAACTCTATAAGCTGTAGACAGGTTTCAATACAAAGATGACTGGTGATCAACGGTTGCAGGAATCGTTTCCTGAGTTTGCATTTCCTGCTATCAGTACGTTCTTATGAACTGCGTCAGCCTTTCATGCGCGGAGGGTCGCAGCAGGATAGAGAGGTAGTCTTGTTCGAATCGTGGCTCTGCAGGAAAGGGCGAAGACAAAGTGCCCGTGGAGATGTTCTCGATCGCCGCTAGCATCCAAGCAGACAGCAGTTCCTTTTGCACCGTTTCGTTGGAGAGTTTCATCGCGGAATACTTTTGAAATGTGATACCAAACTGCGAGGGCCGTCAGGATCATTCGGGGGGCTGTCCATGTCACCACGGAAGCACCATATGTGCCGCAAGGCATTGCCCCATGCTAGTATGCAGGGAGATGTGTCTTAAGCCGCATGCTTGTCTGGCTTGCGTCGGTTTTGGAATAGGGATGATAGCAGCACTCAGGATTGCCGACCCTACAAGCCTGGGACATGGGGTGAGATGGAGCTTTTCGACCGTGCCTCGTGCAGCATGTGGTAGTAGTGACATCCCCAACAAGGTGGAATGCAGACTCGGCATGTCCGGTGCATCCGCAACACCGTTGAGTGAGCTTCGAGGCATGCAGACGACCTACGACCAATACGGCGTCGTTCGGCTCACCAACACAGGCAACAGCTGGATCCCATGCCAGTTCTGTTTACTTAACATTGCATTCGATTGAATAGAGGAGCGGCCAGCTAGATGCACAGCGGAGGAAGTCAAATTCAGCAAGACCTGATTCGAAAGACAATCAACAAATTGTTCAACCAGGGACCGGTCTGGCATTCGAACAGATGGCGGGGACTTCTTCCTGTAGCACATGCCTGCATGTTTAAGATCAGTAATGCTGGGAACCAGCGTTCCTATTCTGCCCTGACGAACCGGGTTGCAGCGGGGCACCGCGAGCCTAGAATGAAGAAGACTACATCATACCACGTCTGTTCGGATTCAAGGAGTCGGGGTCGGCTTCGGTGGTGGGGTCAGCGTCGAGGTCTGGGGCTCACGCATTTTTTCGTGGTTCATGTTTCAAGTTGCACGCTTAGGCCATGGATTGAGGGTTCCGGGTCAGGAGCTGCGGGTTTCGGGCCGGCTGTTAAAGGTTTCAGTGCCTGGTTTTCGGAGGTAATGTTTCCTTTTGGGGCTCAGGCTTTCAGCGCGTTGGGCACTTTCGGGTATGGGCTTTCAGGGCTTTCGGGTTTGGGTTTTAAGGTTTGGGCGTTCAGGATGCGGGTGTTTGGAGCCGGGTTGATGGATGTGTGGTTGTAGGGTATTGGTAGTTGGAGCGTCCTGGGATTGGTTTCGAGCATTGATTCAACCAAGGCTTTGCTTTCAGTCGTTTTTGGAGGCAGGTAGGGCTTACAAGGTTTGGGATGTCGGTTCTTAGGAGGTCTAGGTTTTTTCGGTTTAGCGTTTCGTCGTGACTGGATCCTTGAATTGAGATACATAGGTCAGTAGTACAAGGACAGAAGGCCAGGCAAGCTTATCCTGCTGGCATTTGGTTGAGCTCTGCTTGACATCCACACTTTGTGGCGCTCGATTTCAGCTGTGTTGAGCCTGAATGCAGTAATTTCGAGTCGGGTCACATTTCAACTGCTCTCATGCTGGATCTGGCGGTCTGAGAGCAGGGGTCCCAAACCCTATGCAGGTCTCAAAGACCCGGGGGCAATGCGCAGATATGCACGTGCTGTGGTGTCTCTGTTGCACGATTATCAACGGTGATTTGCGGTGATGGAATTTTCTTGTGCCCAGCAAGTGTGCACCAGCATCAGTTCGTCTTGAGTTCGGTCGGACTGCCGAGGTGAACAAGCAAATGGCTTATGAAGGTGGCGCCAACCCACGTGAGGGCATCATCCAAAACGTTTTTGAGGCACATTCTCTTCCTTAAAGCCTCGCAGTCAGAAGAAAAGTATCTGCACCTGCACTTGGCAGGTAGGCGCACCCAACGATGCATGGCTTCATTACCACCATGAGATGGCCTACAACCAGCACAGCATGAAAAACCTGGCCTTCTGCAGCATAAAGGCTACACAGGGCAAGGGTGACACGTACCTCTCTGAGAACCTTAGCGTGACTGATTCGCTTCTGCAGACGGACTTGGGACGAAAGCTGCGAGACAAAGGAGTCTGCTACATCCGCTGCCTCACTGACCGTGATGCCTATGAGGGCCAGGGCTGGATGGAGGGTGCAGCTGTGTACAACCACTGGCAGCTGTCCTTCGGGGCGAAGACACCCGAAGAAGCAGAGAAGAAAGCCCGGGAATGTGGTCTCGATGTGGAATGGTGCGAGGATCCCCTGAAGCCGGAGTCCAAGCGGTACATGAAGACGAAGCTCGTGATTTCCGCTTTCGAGTACTGCCCATCAGTTGACCGTAATGTCCTATACAGCAGTATCGCAGATCACAGCGCTTGGTTCGACACGTGGAAAGGTGTTCACGACGTTCACCCTGACAAGCGCCCACTGCAGATGACGTTCGGTGATGGAACCCCCTTCACTCAGGAGGAGTTGAGGCAGTGGGTGGGCTTGTATGATGATGGTGGAATTCGTGTGCAATGGCAACCTGGCGACATCGTGGCCTTCTGCAACTACCGATACGCTCACGGCAGGCCATGGTGCTGTGACATGCTGTGACAGTTCCTTTGATAATCTTTCCGATTGTCTATAGGGCCCTTTACGGTATTGCAGTTCTGGTCATCTGTACCTGCCAGTCCTAGCCCAACGCTCTGCGCGACTCCCCGAACCGTTGTCGTGTTGAGAGGCCGGCTTTCCACCTGCACCGATGGGAGGAGAGGCAGATTGGAGTTGTCCTCGGGGAGAAGTTCGAGCGCGTAGGTACAATGGACTGCCGCTTTGCTTGGAGCAGCCAAAACCGAGACCACTGGTTTGGCAAAATAGGAAGCTAAGTGCAGAATCCTTTAACCCAGACCGTGATGACTTTCTCTGAGGCAAGTGGTGAACGAGTACGGACAGATCCCAAAGAGAGCTGCATTTTGTAGCCGGATTTTGCTGAGCGGGTTGTTCGGAGAGATTCAATAACCGACTTCGTGAAGTCCGGCGTTCATGTGGAGAAGCATGACATCAACCGTTGCATTCGACCAATCTGCAAAGACAATTCTTGTGATTGTGACGCAAGAGCACCCCGGCAGTCTTCGAGGTATACGTTGTGCATGGAAGGTTTAGCCATAAATTGTGCCAGCAATGAAGTGTTCGAGTCTTTTGGACTACCGGCTGTACAGGCTTCATGAAACGACCTTGTAATTCGCATCAAAAGCCTATGGAAGATGCAGACGGGCCTTTTGATGGTTGTGCAACTGTGTATAAAAGATGTTTCAAGCCGTCCTGCCATTTTGCAATCGAGAATCCAGGGCAGGGTGTTTGACTGTAAAAACGGTTCTTGGTAGTTTGCCCCTGAATGCAAACTGCCGCAAAGTGACAGGACATCCCTGGAACTTAACCTCTTCTGCGCTAGAGAAGCGGAAGAAGGCTTCCTGCCATCTGCGAAGTTGGAGAAGCCATGCTTCTCCTATGCTGCATGCTCGCCATGGCTCCTTACCAGTGGTCACTTTTGAAAGCTTTTGCGAGTTGGTCCAGTGCCCTGAAACTCTAGGTAGCCCGTGGCCGTCATTGTCCCGTCAGGTCTAACATAGATCCGGATCATGCGACGGTGCCCGATCGTCCTAGACTCCTCGACTCCTCGACGGCTGTGTTCTGGAGTAAAGCGACCGAACATCTCGATTAAATGATTGCGAGTATACCTGCAGGGATCGTCGTCATCAGTGATCAGGACTGGAAGTGTGATACACAGAGTTCCTCATGTACATTTTCGAGTACAGCACATCTGTAGCACATTGGACCAGTGCTTTGCTGGCTGCCGGCTGGTGCAGAGTCATTGCTGATGTTCCCTGTACAGATCCTCTTGCCCACGTGGATTGTGAACAAAATGGTGGTGACATGTGCTCGCCTAGCATTGGCCGTCCTGCATCAGAAGCTGATCGCTGCAAAGGAACCATCTGCAGTATTCCGTGCATTGAAGATGCTTCGGTATGCTTCCCGATTTACCCGGCAATATTGTCGGGCATGTTTTATGGTTCGCTGTGTCCCGAGGTTGAAGCTGCACTTCAAGCGGAGGCGAGATTGACACTGTTCATCAAGATCGTGGGAGCACATTCCGTGCTTTCCAGTAACTACTTTGATCCAGACGGCAGACTAAGGACTGCCTGTTGACAGGAAGATACGTAGCACTCTGAGCAGCCATTATTCGGCCAGAGCATAGATGTCGACGCACATGCATATTTGCCATCAGGATGTGGTTGAACATGACGAGGCCTCACACGCAAGTTACAAGTATTTTTCCACGACTGCGTTTTGCAAGCTTAATGACTTCGCCGAGTCGAAGCGTCCCGAAAGTTGTTCGACAACTAGTGATGATGCTGTCTGAGCATGACAACCACGAATGAGATTGCGCTTACTCGGTGCACGCACCTCTAGAAGCATGGCACCGCGTGTCGAGCTTTACACTGCTTACGAGTCTGGCCTGCAAAAATTCTGGAACAAGCATCGTCTAGAAGTTGGACGGGATGCATATGTCATTTTGGGAATCGAGGAAGGTTGTGAGCCTTTCTGCAGTCAGCCGAGGAGCTGTCACCTGTTCAAGAAAAGATCAAGCAGGCTGCCATGAGCGAGACGCATTGATCCAAGCAGCGAGACTGTGCATCGCAATTATCGCCACTTCCGCCGCCCAGTTTGGTGTTCAACCATACAATTACTTACACTTTTGCGGCAGGGCATCTACGAGCTGTCAAGCGTTGGCCCGCTCTGCAGGCAAACCAAAGCGGCAAGTACGGGCCTGTGAAGACCTCAGCAGGATCCCACATGGACCACAGTCTGACATGTTGAAACTCAGCGAGCTGCGCTTATCTATCTATCTACCTACCTATCTATCTATCTATCTATCTATCTCTCTATATATCTATCT